CTGAATTTGGAGGCAGGAAAACCTGGGTTTGGAACCTGCCTCAGAAAATTACTATCTGAGGGGCAGCTAGGTGGTGCAGTGGATAGAGCATCCAGCCCTGGAGTCAGGAGGACCTGAGTTCAAATCTGTCCTCAGACACTTAGCAGCTGTGCGACCCTGGACAAGTCACATAACCTCGATTGCCTCAAAAAAAAAGAAAGAAAGAAAGAAAGAAAGAAAAAAGAAAATGACTATGTGGGTGACATCAGACAAGGCCTTTTCCTTCTCTCAGACTCAGTTTCTTCATCTGTAAAATGAAGACATTGAACTTGAGGACCTCAAAAGTCTTTTCCATTTCTAAATCTCTGATCTTGTAACATCCTTTGGAAATTTGAGAAGAGGATGTAGGGAAGACTATAAAGTAGCAAACCACAAGTACTCCGAGAGGAGAACTTAATACAACATGCGCCAACCATCAAACTGCCAAAATGGTCACTGGTATGCTGGCCTTTCTTTGGAAGTGCTCAGCAATGAGTGAAATGCAAATCAGTCTCAAGTGAAGGAAGGTTTGCCTCCTGTACAACATGTTCTGAGGGGACCATCCCAACTCACACTCACTCTCCCTAAAAAGTTGAGTTCTCAGAGATGGCTACCATATCTCTTGAAAGGTCCAGGGTAAGCACTGAGGGGCATTGTCCTTCTAAACTTATAAGCCCCCACCGATATTTACCACCACCCCCTCTCTGATAACTGTTGGTATCAATTAGGCAGGCAGACTCAATTCACATCTAGAAAAGGGCATTTTTTTTGAAGGAGTAGGGTAACAACAGTTGATAGAAAATATCCCCCAAAAGTCTGACAGCAGCCTCCAAGGGAATGTGGCCTCAACTTTAGGTAGAGTACATATGACCAAAGGACACCTCACAGCTCCTGGAAGTTCTATTTCTGGAGTCCTCTAGCTGTCCCCCTTAGCTATGGTGGAATCTTTCAGTGGGATTCTTTGTAGAATCTTGAATCTATCCTTGGCTCCCAACACAGACTCTGCCGATACTGTCCTAGGGACACTGCTAGTATTCCAGTGAAAAACTGGAAATCCTCCTCTGACCTAGGTGGGAAGAAGGTGACAAAGACAGGATGGAGGAAGCCAAAGAGGAAACAGAGGCGCTCTCCTCTCCCTCTCCCAAGTGATTACTTCTCAGGGGTTTGAATGAAATGCTCTCTCCTTGCTTGATCTTTACTCCTCTAACTAGAAGGTGAAGGACCAGGAAGAACCCAGCTCCTAAAGGAAGACTGGACCTACATAATGTTGGCTCTGAGAAGAGATAGGTTTGCCCTGCTTGAGGGTAGACCGGGAGAATGCATCTGCCTCTCCCTAGGACCTTAAGCCCAGCCATCAGCAATACCTCTCATTGGGGGAATGGAAAGGAAATCAACCAGCTGCAGAGCTTGGTGCCAGTAAGTACAAGCTCCAGAGTGGCCAAGGAAGAGGTTTCTCCCATACTGCTTCCTTGGGACAGTGGAGTAAACTGACTAATGGGGGATTAAAATGCCTGGAAATGCTAGTAGATGACGCTTGCTATAGAATCAAATTCAGTAAATCAAATGACTAGGTCCAAACTGGGAGAGCTGACCCTGTTCCAATGGATAGAAGGATCAATATGACTCTAGTGGGAAGACAACTTCAGATCAGTGGACTGACTCCTTCCCTCACGGAAGCTGCCTTTCTGAGCCAATGGTTTGGACAGATCCAGCTGGACTCCAGTAGAATCCTGCAAAGAAAAGGAGCAGTAGGAGGTGCCATAAACTCTCCCAGGGATGAGTAAGGCAGCTACTTCACTTGGGTAAGAAAGAACCTAGATGTGCAGCAGAGGAAAGGATAGCCCAGTTCCTCTTTCTTTGAAAAGAGAGAGGCTGGGAGACCACAAGGAAGAAAGTTTGGGCAAAAGACTCTCGTGGTAATAACCCCTGGGGACAACTGCTCAAGACTGATCTAAGAACATTGAGCTGGCAGCATTAAGGGAGCATCCCAGGACTGACTACTTCCCTACTATGGCTGCAAACAAAGGGGATTCTTTACATAGATCTTAGCACAGTGCCTGGCATACAATAAGCACCTAATAAATACTCCTTGACTGGGGGACTACTTTCTCCTTATAGGAGAATGAGAGAATATATATTCACTATAATGAGTGAATGGGGCTTCACCGAACAGAGGTGATTCTTCACCGATTAGAAGTCTGGGCCTTGGAAGGCCAAACGGGAGCTAAGCTTAATCATCATCTATTATGACCTTGACTGCTTTGTTTCACACAGTCACAAAGAACTGGTTCCCTTTCACAACACAGCCCTCCTTGAGTTCCAGGCTCACCTTACCAGCTGCCTAACAGACATCTCCAACTGTATGTCCCATAGGATTCTCAAACTTGACTTTTTTTGTTGAAGCAACCACTCTTTCTAGTAACCTAGATTCTTAGCCTTGGAATCATATCGGACTCTTGTTCAGTCATTTTTCAACATGTTTGATTCTTCGTGACCCCATTGGGGGTTTTCTTGGCATAGATATTGGAGTAGTTTGCCATTCTCCAGCTCATTTTACAGATTAGGAACTGAGGCAAACATGGTGAAGTGACTCACCCAGGGTCACACAGCTAGTAAGTATCTGAGGCTGAATTTGAACTCAGGTCCTCCTGACTCCAGGGCCAGCACTCTCCACTGTGCCACTTAGCTGTCTCTGAATATAGTAGGCATTTAATAGACATGGCTTGGATTGGTACCTATTTTGGATCTCTTTTATGGTTATAAAGATTTTTCTAACCTCAGGTCTAAATCTGCCCCTCTTTGTCCTGCTCTATTGCTCTAGCCGGATTTTCCAGGTTTATCGAATGAATTAATGAAAAGGAATTTGTTAATCACTCACCACATGCTAAGTAGTACACTGGGCTAAGAGGTGGAGGTACAAATAGAAAATTAAGGCAATCGCTGCTCTTAAGAGACTCACATTCTAATGGGAGAGACACCAAATATAGCTTTCAGCCGCAAGTCAGATGTGGTCCTTGGATGAGTGAGGTCCTCAGGGAGAAGAAGCAAAGTAGATGGTGATGCATTTTCTGGAGTGTCATTTCCATTGATAAAATCCCATGCATTGAGGCATTCAGTGATGCCGAGGATTTTGGTGATGAGAACTTTGTTTTCTGTTTCTTTGGTAGCTGTGGCTGCCGGGGAGGTGGGGGCTACAGCACTTTCAGGGGAAGTTGCCAGGTCTCCCCTTGACAAGGGTTACTCTTTTGAAGGATGGCTGTAGGGGGCAGGTTGGAAGAGTGACTTATGGTGTGTGTGTGTATGTGTGTGTGTGTGTGTGTGTGGTGTGTACACACGCTGTATTCTTCCCATTGGTCTTGGGCTTACCTGTTTCTAGGTGACTCTTGGGGGTAGGGGTGGCTAGGGTGGCAGTCCCCCTTCTCCACTGAGACTGCTCTCCTGGGGGAAGACTTGGGGCTGGACTGGAAGCAGGGCAGGTGGAAGGGGAGTGGCTGTCCCCCCGGGGTCTCTGGGGAAGTAGTGACTGAGGTAGTAGTTTGACCAACATGGTACATGCCACCTCTCTTCTCTCCCTTAGGACGCCTCGCTACCTCAGCTAAGCTAATTCCCTGGTTCTGTTGTTGATAGTGGGACCACCACTTCCTTCACTTGATCTACATCCTATCCAAACTGTACAGACCATCCCATTTCCCGAGTCTAGACCTTAGACTGCCCACCTCTACCGCTCTGAATCCCATCCTCTTTCTTTCCCGTCCCAGTTTAATGGCCACCTCTCTCAGGATTACCCTTCATGATTCCTTGCCCCGCCCCCCACTTGTAAATTTCCTCTCCCCAGCTTGGTACTTTGGATAGGTTTCATACTAATTTATCCATGTACATGCCAAAGTATGCAGTGGAAGGGACACTGGATTTAGGATCAGAGGACATGGGCTAACATCCTCCTGACCTTGGGACAGTCACTTTACTTCTCTGAAAGTCGATGTTCTCTCCTGTGAAATGGGATCAGGTTACAAGACCTCCAAGGTCCCTTCCCCTCCCAATCTCTGCTGCCACAGTGTTTTCTCCTAATAGAACATAAGCACTTGGAGCACCAGGCTGTTTAATTTTGGCCTTTGCTTTCCTAGCATCTAGCACACAGTAGGTGCTTAATGAATTGGTGAATTGCTCCCCATGCCTGGAATATTCTCCCTCCTCATCTCCGCCTCCTGGACTCCTTGGTTTCCTTTAAGCCCCAGCTAAAATCCCATCATTTGTCAGGAGACATTCCTGAACCCCCCCCCCCATGCTCACATTTTTCCTCTTATTGATAATCCTCAATTTACCTTGTTCCTACATAGTTGTTTTCATGTTGCCTCCCTTATTAGACTGTGAGTTCCTTGAGACAAAGTCCTCTTTTGCCTTTATAGCTGCGGGGCTTAGAGAGTAAGTCTACATGTTATATGTTGCTTACTTTGTGCCAGCTCTATGCATGAGGTGGGTGCGATACTATCCCCATTTAACAGTAGAGGAAACTGAGGTTAAGTGACTTGCCCAGGGTACTGCAACTAGTAAGCATCTGAGGCTGGATTTGAACTCAGGTCTTCTTGACTCCAGGCCTTGACTTCTCTATCGTCTGTGCCACCAGCTGCCTCCCCAGCTGCTTAGCACAGTGTCTGGTATAGAGTAGGCACTCAATAAATGCTTATTATCTGACTAACTTCTAATTCTGCCCTCTTGGGCTAAGAACAACAAATCTAGGGGACAGCGCTCCAAAAATTTGAAGGGAAATGTCACGTCTTCTTGAGCCAGACATCCTCAGCTCTTTCCTCATATGAAGTGGACTCTCAAGACTGTTCACCATCTTAACTGTTTCAGCAACGTCTTCCCTAAAATACAGTGTGCCGGTGCAGGGCTCAGCTCCCAGGAAGCGCTTAATAAATGCTTTTCGTTCGCTCGTTCAATTGTGCAAGCATTCAAGCACTGGTTCTTTCATTCGTTTATGCATGCATTCAGAGGGGGTCTGGACGGCAGTGCTGCTGGCTGAGGCCGAGAAGAGACGGCCAGCCCGGTTGGAGTCTCCCGGGCGGGGCGGGGCCGCACTGTGCTGCGGGAGTTTGCAGCTGTGGCTTCCATCCCCCCGCTGTCAAATCCCAGCGCCCCGCCTCCCGCCAGAGCCGGGCTCATCTCGCCTTCCTATTGGTCAGAGGCCCCGTCCCGGAGACTTCGGCCCTTTGAGAACCCAAGGCTGCGGCCACTCCCATTAAAAAAAAACAAAAACCCAGCTCAGGTCACCTGACCTCCAAAAGCCAATGGGAACACCCGTCTGGGGATTCCTTTCACAGCCGCAGCCCAGATGGACCGCTATGCCCGCCCTCCCCCTGCGTTGATTGGGCCTGCCGTGTGAGCGTGCCCACTGATTGGCCAGCTCGATCGGGGAGGAGGCTGGTGGGGAGGCTTGTCTCGGGAGCGCTGAGTCAGCTGCTGCAGAGTGGGCTGGGTGGGGTTGGGGGCTGCACTTGGGTTTGACCGGGGCAAGACGGGGTCGGTCGCTGCTGGTCCCCGCCGCCCGCCGCCGCCCGCCGCCGCCATGGAGAACTTCCCAGAGGAGATGGATGAAGAGCAGTATTGGCAGAACGAGCTGCTGCATCTGGCGCGGTGGGCGGGGCTGGCCATCCCTGGGGATTATCCGGGCCCGCCTTGGCCGGGGCGGGGATTATCCGGGGCTGTGTGTCTAGTGCAGGGCTAGGGATTATCCGGGGCTGGAGATTGTGGGGCCGGCAAGGGCGTGCGGGGGCTGCCCAGTCCGGCGATGGGGGATCATCCTGGCTTTCCTTGTCCAGAGATGAGGGATTATCGGGGGGGG